ACACTTGCACACTTGTACACTTGTACACTTGTACACTTGCACACACTTGTACACTTGTACACTTGTACACTTGTACACTTGTACACACTTGCACTTGTACACTTTGCACACTTGCACACTTGTGCACACTTGTACACTTGCACACTTGTGTACTTGCACACTTGTACACTTGCACACCTGTACACTTGCACACTTGCACACTTGTACACTTGTGCACACTTGTACACTTGCACACTTGCACACTATTTGAGCACATTTTTTATAAACCTGTGTCAGTTTTCAACATGCAGCCTGAACACAAAAGTGCAGCTCTGAGTCTGAGTGTGTGAGTTTAGAGCTTCAAAGGAAAACAAGAAGAGTTTAATTTCCTGAAGGGGATAAGAAAGAGGAAAAAGAAGGACAGAGAATGTGATAGAGAAAGAGAGGGATAAGAAGAGAGAGAAACAGAGAGAGACTGAGAAACAGAGAAAGAAAGAAGAAAGAAAGAGAGAGAGAGAGTGAAGGGCCTGGGATAAAGAGAGAGGGAGAAGAGAGAAGAGACAGAAAGAGAGATAAGAAAGAGGAAGAGATAAAGAGGGCGAGTAGTAGAGTAGTAGAGAGTAGTAGAAGTAGAAGTAGTAGAGTAGTAGTAGTAGTAAAGAGTAGTAGTAGAGTAGTAGTAGAAGTAGTTGTAGTAGTAGTTGTTGTTGTAGTAGTAGTAGTAGTAGTAGTAGTAGTAGTAGTTGTAGTAGTTGTAGTAGTTGTAGTAGTTGTAGTAGTAGTAGTAGTGTAGTAGTAGTAGTAGTTGTAGTAGTAGTAGTAGTTGTAGTAGTAGTGTAGTAGTAGTAGTTGTAGTAGTTGTAGTAGTAGTAGTTGTAGTTTAGTAGTAGTAGTGTAGTAGTAGTAGTAAAAAAAATCATTTCAGCTCTGGAATTGCAAATCTCTCCTGAAAAAGGATCTGGTCACATGAAAACTACCACTTCATGACATCACAAGGTTGAACAGAGCGTTTTGAGCTTTGGAGATGTAAACAGACGAATAATAAAGAATTACTCCAACATGTGAATGAAACAAAACACGAGTCCAGGTTTGTTTTTGAGATGATTTGAGGTTCATTTTGCGTAACACGGGACTTTTAAATGACCTCAGGGACACATGAAGTTATTGGACTGATTTATTGACGCAGTTTAATCGATTTCACGCTGATTTTGATTCATTAAAACGACACTAAAACTAAACTGGGACTAAACACGACCTGTATTTACAACGGATTTTTATTCTGTTACTTAAAACGGATAAATAAACTAAACTAAATATTGTTTTGGGGCGAGCACATGGACTGGATTTATAAATGGACGTAGAGAATTCGCTCGTCGCCGAATTTTTTTCCAAATACAAAATGAACTTGGGCATTTCTGACTCTGTTTATTTTATTTTGTTTTATTTATGATGTGTTTTTGTCATTTTAAAATAATTTGTTACTTTACAATATTACTGTGTTTAAAATGTAAAACTAAACCAGGACTAAACCAAGGACTGAATCAGGACTAAACTAGGTTAACCAGGATTAAACTAGGACTAAACAAGGACTAAACCAGGACTGAACCAGGACTAAACTAACAGGACTAAACCAGGACTAAAACTAGGAACCAGGAAAAACTAGACTAAACAAGGACTAAACCAGGACTGAATCAGGACTAAACTAGGTCTAAACCAGGACTGAACCAGGACTAAACTAGGTCTAAACCAGGACTAAACCAAGGACTAAACCAGGACTAAACCAGGACTGAACTAGGACTGAACAAGTACTAAACCAAGCCTGAACCAAAACTAAACCAAGACTAAACCAAGACTAAAACCAGGACTGAACCGGGACTAAATCAGGACTGAACCAGGACTAAACAAGGACTGAACCCAGGACTAATCCAGAGCTGAACCAGGACTGAATCAGGACTAAACCAGGTCTAAACCAGGTCTAAACCAGGACTAAACCAGGACTAAACTACGACTAAACTCGAGCTGAACCAGGACTGAACCAGGTCTAAACTAAAACTAAACCAGGACTAAACTGAGGACTAAACTAGGACTAAATCAAGGCCAAACCAGGACTAATCTTGGACTAGAACTCCGTAAATAAACTCAGAATCAAAATTTGGATAAAAGCAAAAGCTGCGATTTTTGAAGAACTATAATTTTTTTTTCCACAAACAACAAAGTCCGTGGTCTTATTCCGCGTGAAACCTGTCGATAAATTCTTCTGGACGTGTTTATAACGTGAACTTTGGACGGAATCCTTTTATTAAAACATAAATCTCTAATCTAACAACAACACTCGTCAGAAAAAAACAAAAAAACGGCCATTTCTTCCAGGACAAACCGATAAAAATCATACGTCAGATTTATGGCACCGAAACTGGCAGCTCAAATGAGACACACTGTTTTTGTCATTAAAGCTGCTCTGTGTCACTTTTCTGGTGGAGCGTTTCCATGGCGATGATCTTGAATGTTCTACAGGATGGAAATAAACTTGGGTATCACACTGGAGACGAGTTACTGGTCACATCTATGGAGAAGTAAGACGTTTCAAGGTGTTTTTGGAACCAGGACTAAACCAGGACTGAACCAGGACTAAACAAGGACTGAACCCAGGACTAAACAAGGACTAAACCAGGACTGAACAAGGACTCAACCAGGACTGAAACAGGACTAAACCAAGGACTAAACCAGGCACTGAACCAGGACTAAACTAGGACTAAACCAGGTCTAAACCAGGACTAAAAACCAGAACTGAACCAAGATGAAAAACCGGGACTAAACCAGAGACTAAACCAGGACTAAACCAAGACTAAACCAGGACTAAACCAGAAACTAAACCAGGACTAAACCAGACTAAACCAGACTAAACCAGGACTAAACCAAGACTAAACAGAGACTAAACCAGGACTAAAACCAGGACTAAACCAAGACTAAACCAGGACTAAACCAGAGACTAAACCAGGACTAAACCAGAGGATAAACCAGGACTAAAGCAGAGACTAAACCAGGACTAAACCAAGACTAAACCAGAGACTAAGTCAAGACTAAAACAAGGACTGAAACAGCACTAAACCAAGACTAAAACCAGGACTAAACCAGGAAAAACCAAGACTAAAACCATGACTGAACCGGGACTAAACCAGGATTAAACTAGGAAAAACCAAGACTAAAACCATGACTGAACCGGGACTAAACCAGGACTAAACTAGGACTAAAACCAAGACTAAAACCAAGACTGAACTAAGACTAAATAAACCAGGACTGAACCAGGACTAAACTAGGACTAAAACCAAGACTAAAACCAAGACTGAACTAAGACTAAATAAACCAGGACTGAACCAGGACTAAACCAGGAATAAAACCAAGACTAAAACAAAACTGAACCGAGACTAAAACCAAGACCAACTCAGGACTGAACGAGGACTGAATCATGACTAAACAAGACTAAACCAGGTCTAAACCAGGACTAAACCTTTGAATGTGATGTTCAAGTCAATTTTAAACACATTTTTAGAATCTTTATTTCAGTTTAGGTTTTATTTTTCCTCATAATTCCACATTAAAACAGTAAATTTTGGGACTTTATATTTATCGTGTTCACAGTTTCTTTGTCAAAGTGTAGATTTTGTGGATTTTTGTCGTAATATCGTAAGATTCGAGCCGCAGACGGTCGAATAAATCACTTTTATGTCTCGTTATTGTCACGTTCTCGGTTCTTTTAATGAGATTGTTTATTTAAAATGGTTCTCTGGGATTATCTCGGGTTTAATTGTTCTTGTATCACACACATAATGTAGCTTCCATTATCTTTTATCGCACTTTGTCTCTCCGCTCACATGCTCCAGTTTTTTTTGTTTTTTTTATTGTGAGACCTGTAGAGAGACCGATTTCATTTTGTGTTTCCTCGCGGTTAAATTTGGGATTTCGGTTTCAAGATTTCGAGTTCAGATTTTAAACACGAACAGAAAAATGGATAAAAAGACTGAAATCTGAGCTGAAAAACTGAAACGAGAATCGAATTTTAGAACTTTTTCCGCAGAGTGGACGCACAGGAAGGGCATCCGACACAATTTTACATTTCAGAACATGTTTGTAAAAAATTAAACGACACAATTAGACGTTTTTATCGAGAATAAAGATCATTTTTGCGAATTGTGTCGGTTTAATATCGTCGTATCCCGTGAAGCTTCTAGTTGACGTGGATCGTTTTTATCGTTCAAATCTGCATTTTACAAATTGATTCTCACTCATAAATAAAAATATAAATTAAAAAAATAAAATAAAATTCTGGTTGTGGATGTTTGGTTGGATTAAAACCAAGAATAAACCGAGAATAAAACCAAGACAAAAACAGGACTAAACCAGGACTGAACAAGACAAAACCAAGACTAAACCAAGAATAAAAGTAGGACTAAACCAAGACTAAACCAAGACTAAACCAGGACTAAAACAGGACTAAACCAAGACTCAAAACCAGGACTGACTCAGGACTAAACTAGGACTAAAACAGGACTAAACCAGGACTAAACCAAGACTCTAAACGAGGACTGAACCAAGACTAAAAAACAGGACTAAACCAAGACTAAACCAGGATTAAACCAAGACTGAACCAAGACTAAACCAGGACTAAACCAAGACTCTAAACGAGGACTGAACCAAGACTAAAAAACAGAACTAAACCAAGACTAAACCAGACTAAACCAGACTAAACCAAGACTAAACCAGACTAAACCAGGACTAACCAAGACTTAAACCAAACCAGGACTAAACCAGGACTAAACCAAGACTAAACCAGGACTAAACCAAGACTGAACCAGGACTTAACCAGGACTAAACCAAGACTAAACCAGGACTAAAAAAACAGGACTAAACCGAGACTAAACCAAGACTAAAAATCTGCACTTTAGGAATCGATTCTCACTCGTACAATAAAACAAAATAAATAAAATAAAATAAAATAAAAATAAATAAAGTCATTGTCTTACCTTTGGTTTTGGCGGTGGGTTTGATGAGTCCGGTCGCGCTCGTGTTGGTCTGGTTACAGTCCGGACTCAGCGCGCTCACGTTCGTAAAGTTCCCGCATCCCGGAGCGTCCACGCGGCTCACGTTCACCGCGTCTAGAGCCATGCCCCCCCCGGTCACGCACGTCACAGCACGCAGCCGCACACCGCCGCCACGCACCGCCGCCACGCGCACCGCTCTGGTCCTCGGAGCTCCGACTCGGACCGACGGCGTCACAGATAAAAAGTTGCCGCGGTTTTCGTCATGGTGTTTGTCGTTACGAGCGCGTGCGTGCGTGAGGACGGTGCGTTAAAACGGAGCCGTGCGGGAAAAAAAAAAAAAAAGGTGTAAAAAGGTTTGGATTTTCGTAAAGATGCAGGTGCGGGTTTGGAGACGAACCGGAGCACAGCGCGGATCAGCGGCTCGTGAAGGAATGAACCAAACACCGAACTGCTCCAAACCGCACTCTGCTCTGTCTCTCTCTCTCTCCCTCTCTCTCTCTTTCTCCCTCCCTCCCTCCTCCCTCCTTTCTCCTCTCTCTCTCTCTCTTTAGTGCGCTGTCTCCCTCCTCTTTCTCTCTCTCTCCTCTTTCTCTCTCTCTCTTTCTCACTCATCTCTCTCTCTTTTTTTAGTGCACTCTCTCTCCTCTCTCTCGCTCTTTCTCTCCCTCCTCTTTCTCTTTCTCTCTCCCTCCCTCCTCTCTCCCTCCTCTCTCTCCTTTTAGTGCGCTCTCTCTCCTCTCTCTCGCTCTTTCTCTGCCTCCTCTTTCGCTCTCTCTCTCTGTGACTATGCCTCGTCTCTCTCTTTCTCTCTCCTCTTCTTTCTTTCTCTCTATAGATCTGGCCACCCCCTCTCTCTCTTTCTCCCTCCTCCCTCCTCCCTCCTTTCTCCTCTCTCTCTTTAGTGCGCTGTCTCCCTCCTCTTTCTCTCTCTCTCCTCTCTTTCTCTCTCTCTCCTCTTTCTTCTCTCTCTTTTCTCACTCATCTCTCTCTTTTTTTTAGTGCACTCTCTCTCCTCTCTCTCGCTCTTTCTCTCCCTCCTCTTTTACGCTCGCTCTCTGTGACTCTGCCTCGTCTCTCTCTCTCTCTCTCTCTCTCTCTCTCTCTATAAATATATATTTGGCCACCCCCTTTCTCTCCCTCCTCTCTCCCTCTTCTTCCTCTCTTTCACTCTCTCTCTCTCTCACTTTAGCGCGCTGTCTCCCTCCTCTCTCTCTCTCTCTCTTTTTAGTGCTTTCTCTCTCCCCTCTCTCGCTATTTCTCTGCCTCCTCTTTCTCTGTCTCTGTCTCTGCCTCGTCTCTCTTTCTTTCTCTCTCTGTCTTTCTTTCTTTCTTTCTCTCTAGATATTTGGCCACCCCCTTTCTCTCCCTCCCTCTTCCTCCTCTTTCTCTCTCTCCCTCCACTTTCTCTCTCTCTCTCTCTCTCTCTATATATATATATATATATATGTATATATTTGGCCACCGCCTCTCTTTCTTCCTCCCCCCTCCCTCCTTTCTCCTCTCTTCTCGCTTTAGCGTGCTGTCTCCCTCCTCTCTCTCTCTCTCTTTTTTAGTGCTCTATCTCACTTCTCTCTCTCTCTCTGTCTGCCTCGTCTCTCTCTCTCTTTCTCTCTATATATTTGGCCACCCCCTTTCTCTCCCTCTTCCTCCTCTCTTTCTCTCTCTCCCTCCACTTTTCTCTCTCTCTAAATATATGGCCAACCTCTCTCTCTCCCTCCCTCCCTCCTTCCTCTCTCCTCTTTTTTCTCATTCTCTCCCTCCTCTCTATCTCTTTCTCTTCCTACACTCACTCTCTGTCTCGTCTTTCTTTCTTGTCATTCTTTCTTCTCTCTCTATCGATCGATCGATAGATAGATATATCTGGCCACCCCCTCTCTCTCTCCCTCCCTCCTTTCTCCTCTCTCTCTCTCTCCCTCCCTCCTCTTCTTCTCTCTCTCTCTCTCTCTGTCTCATCTCTCTCTCTCTTTCTTTCTCTCTCTTTATATATCTCGCTCTCTCCCCTTCTCTCTCATTCTGTCTCTCACTCCTCTTTCTCTCTCTCTTTCTTGCCACCCTCTCTCCCTCCTTTCTCCTCTCACTTTCTCCCTCCTCTCTCTCTTTCTCTCTGTCTCCTTCCATCCTTCTCTTTCTCCTTCTATCCTTCTCTCACTCTCCCTCCCTCTTTTTCTCGCTCCTTTTTCTCTCCCCCCTCCTTCCATCTTTCTCTCTCTCTCTCTCTCTCTCTCTTTCTGTCGTTTCTCTCTGCCCACCTCCCTCTCCTCTTTCTTTCTGCCCTCCTCATTCTCTTTCTCTCTCTTTTTCACAGTTGTTGTTTTTCTGGTGTTTTTGAGGGAACAGTGGAGCGCGGAGGGGAGGGCTGCACTATTTACACTATTTACACTATTTACACTATTTACACTGTTTACACTATTTACAGTATTTACACTATTTACACTATTTACACTATTTACACTATTTACACTATTTACACTATTTACACTGTTTACACTATTTACACTATTTACACTATTTACACTATTTACACTATTTACTATTTACTATTACACTATTTGCACTATTTACACTATTTACACTGTTTACACTATTTGCACTATTTACACTATTTGCACTATTTGCACTATTTACACTATTTGCACTATTTACACTATTTGCACTATTTACACTATTTGCACTATTTACACTATTTACACTATTTACACTATTTACACTATTTGCACTATTTACACTATTTACACTATTTACACTATTTACACTATTTACACTATTTGCACTATTTACACTATTTACACTATTTACACTATTTACACTATTTGCACTATTTACACTATTTACACTATTTACAGTATTTGCACTATTTACACTATTTACAGTATTTACACTATTTACACTATTTACAGTATTTACACTATTTGCACTATTTACACTATTTGCACTATTTACACTATTTTGACACTATTTACACTATTTACACTATTTACATTTACACTATTTGCACTATTTACACTATTTACACACTATTTACACTACACTATTTGCACTATTTACACTATTTGCACTATTTACACTATTTACACTATTTACACTATTTGCACTATTTACACTATTTGCACTATTTACACTATTTACACTATTTACACTATTTACACTGTTTACACTATTTACACTATTTGCACTATTTACACTATTTGCACTATTTACACTATTTGCACTATTTACACTATTTGCACTATTTGCACTATTTACACTATTTACACTATTTGCACTATTTACACTATTTGCACTATTTACACTATTTGCACTATTTACACTATTTACACTATTTACACTGTTTACACTATTTACAGTATTTGCACTATTTACACTATTTGCACTATTTACACTATTTGCACTATTTGCACTATTTACACTATTTACACTATTTGCACTATTTACACTATTTACACTATTTACACTATTTACACTATTTACACTATTTGCAGTATTTACACTATTTACAGTATTTACACTATTTACAGTATTTACACTATTTACAGTATTTACACTATTTACAGTATTTACACTATTTACACTATTTGCACTATTTGCAGTATTTGCAGTATTTACAGTATTTACACTATTTACACTATTTACAGTATTTACACTATTTACACTATTTGCACTATTTACAGTATTTACACTATTTACACTATTTACAGTATTTACACTATTTACACTATTTGCACTATTTGCAGTATTTACACTATTTACAGTATTTACACTATTTACAGTATTTACACTATTTACACTATTTACACTATTTGCACTATTTGCAGTATTTGCAGTATTTACACTATTTGCACTATTTGCAGTATTTACACTATTTGCAGTATTTGCAGTATTTACACTATTTACACTATTTGCAGTATTTACACTATTTGCAGTATTTACACTATTTGCAGTATTTACACTATTTACACTATTTGCAGTATTTGCAGTATTTACACTATTTGCAGTATTTACACTATTTGCAGTATTTACACTATTTGCAGTATTTACAGTATTTTACATTTTCATATATATATATTTTATGAAAGTTTAATCATTTTCACATTAAAAAAGTGAATATTTAAACAGAGTGAGAACAAAAACTCAAAAACAAATAAAACACATTAGATTTGGTTATTTTTACATCTGTGCTTCACATTTATTACTGATAACTGGAAAGTATCAGCATCAGGAGCAGTGTAATACTTGTATCTGTAGAAGCAGAAGTACTAGTAATTGTGCTACTGGTGTTGGTGGTACTAGTTGTAGTAGTAGTAGTAAGTAAGGAGTAGTAGTAGTTAGTAGTTAGAAGGGAGTAGAGTAGTAGTAGTAGTAGTAGTAATAAGAAGTAGTAGTAGTAGTAGTTAAAATGGAGTAGGAGTAGTAGTAGTAGTAGTAGTAGGGAGTAGTAGTAGTAGTAGGGAGTAGTAGTTGTAGTTAGTAGGGAGTAGTAGTAGTTGTAGTTAGTAGGGAGTAGTAGTAGTAGTAGTTAAAATGTAGTAATAGTAGTTGTAGTTAGTAGGGAGTAGTAGTAGTAGTAGTAGTAGTAGTAGGGAGTAATAGTAGTTGTAGTTAGTAGGGAGTAGTAGTAGTAGTAGTTAAAATGTAGTAATAGTAGTAGTAGTTAGTAGGGAGTAGTAGTAGTAGTAATAGTAAGTAGTAGTAGTAGTAGTAGGTAACAGCAGTAATTATCACTATAGACTTATTGATTCTTGTCAATCACAGATTTTGAGATGATGATTAAAAAATACTTTCACTGCACTTTTTAAAATATACAATAGATTTATTTAAGTGTTTATTTAATTTAAAACCTCCGGTCCTACAGCAAATACGTGTTATTGATTTAATTAGAAAGTAACAGAAGCAGCAGTAATAATATTGATTTATATTGATTTTAGTTTGAACCAATAATACATTTTTTACGACTAAAAAAAAAAAATCTAAAAAGTATTAAACTCTGAATGATTAAAAGTTCTTTAAAAAAAAAATAAATAAAAAATCTAGAAAGTATTAAACTCTGAATGATTAAAAGTTCTATTAAAAAAAAAAAAAACCTGCTGTGAAAGTGTGTCGTCCTTTTGTTTGGTTTCAGAGGGTTGT